CTCTTCGGTACAAGGATAGAGAAACATGGGTCCCAATAAAACAATTCATTTACAATACATCAATATAAATATAATATTATAGCAATAGGTTAGGGTTATGTTAGGTTAGGGTTAGGCCGCACATTTTAGTTTTATTGGGACCCATGTTCTCTATCCTTGGGCCGTATCTTCTTGGGTCCTTTTTGGCAATTGTATTTCACAAGGACTGCATTCTCTCTTTGGAATGTCTAGGGAATCCCTGTAGATAAGGAAATTCTGTCTACAAGTTAGCATTAATTATTTTACTTTCTCTCTCATAATTACTGTTTTTAAAATAGCCTCCTTCACATATTTTTTCCATTCTTTTTTATGTTGTGAACCAATAGTCATAAGTGACATACTTATGTCATACTCCTTGAAGATTTCTAGAGCCTCATTTGCCCACTCCACCATGTAACAACAGACAGCGTCATGGAACAAGAAAGAAGCTGGAGGAACTAACCTGATTGGCTAAAACACCTGTCATAAGCCTGCTCGTTCCGGTTCCATTCCGCTATATAGTAGTCTAGTAGCCTAAAAGCAGAACTACAGTGTATTGCATTACAATACATGTTTATGTTTAAAAACTCACTTTTAAGTATGCACCAGAATGTACAATTTCAAGATGAAAAATGCAAAAGCTCCCACACCCTCCCCTTGCTCTGTCGCTCCACTCCCTCACATTATCTCACTCTCAACTCTAACTCAATGTTGGCAGCCCTGCATGTGGCATGTTGGCAGCTCTTAGGAAGTGTAGCGATGCATCAAACTATTGATGAATTATAATAGTGTTTGACTCGATATCAATGCATCAATGTCAAAGTAAAACTTTGGTAACTGTTGCCGATAGCTCACTGAAGTAATGATGGTTTTCGATAGTTGAAACAGTAAATCACTAGATTAGTTCATTTATGCTAAAAATATGTTTTTGCATGTACATATACCTGAAAATTATTCCCAACACTTTCGTCATTGTTGTAGATAAAAACGTTTCCCCGGCTGATTATGCCCTGTCCACTCTAGTTGGCTCACTTGTTATGTTCGAGTGTGTGAGTGGAACGACAGGGTATCATTCTAGTATTAATGTGAACCAAAACGTATGCACATGCAAAAATTGTATAACAATATCACAATATATGAAATTTTGTAATGCATCAATAGTATCGCAATAGTTTTTTCCATTACTGCAATATCTTCGACAATAGTATTTCAGTTATCGCGATGTACCTAATAATTACACACAGCTAATACCTAATTTTTATCAGCACAGAATCAAACGTGTTAGGCACCTGACTTGCACCAGATAGCAAAAATGGCATCTGTGAATGATGGAACTCCCGGACGATCTAAAAAGAAACTCCAAGATTTGTTAGTGAAGGAGCTGAGAAGTGAACTTGATGGACGTGGCCTCGATAAGGCAGGCGTGAAGAATGTCTTAGTTCAGCGTTTGCAGCAGGTAAGTAACAACGATCATGGTTTAGTAAATTGTCATTATTTAATTTGAAAAGTGTGTAACCTACTTATAAGAAACTGCATTGGTAGTATAGTGCGGACCTATCTTTCTAACCAAGTGGAAAGCTGATACGTGGCACTAGATAATACATACCTTCTTGTTATTATTTAATGCAATTAAGACATTGATTAACTTATACTTTTTGTTTATAGGCTTTAGAAGATGATGGGATAGATAGTGATGATTATTTTTTCGAAGTGACAGTTTCTGCTTCGCCAATTTCAAAACCTGGACCATTGAGCAGCAAAAAGTCTACAAGTATGCATATATTGAATATAATTTACATCTCTTCAGGACTGTGTTTAAATCAATGGAATGAGAGCTATGTAGTGGATCGTCTATGCCATTTATTCTTCATGATATATTTTGTAAGAAAAGGACATATTTCAGTAGGATATGATTGGCAAAGAATGTGCAAACAACAGGTCAAATATAAAATGGCAAATTATTGACATATTGCAATATTTCATAGTAAAATAGCTACACATTCAGAGTATATCTGCCGGTCCATTTTTAAGGAGTCATGCTGGCAAAGGAGGAAGATGAAGAGGAAGAAGCTGAAGTTGAGAACACAGAAGAACAAGAGGAAGATGAGCCTGTAAGGAAACTGAAATTAACTATTTAATTAATTAATTATTATTATTTATTTTTAATTATGAATGACTATTTATCCAAGTTAAATCTATGGTCTTATTTGTTACCTTCTATGTGCTTCACACTGACATACCATGTTGTTCATACGTGACATTTCGAAACTTCAGATGGAGGCTTTAGCGATAGTTGAGGATGCTATCAATCTCACAGTCGAGGAAGAAGACAAGTTACTCAATGAAGAGGATTTAAATGAACTGGTAGGTGAAGTGTTGTTTACATGCTCTGTTTAAAGTAATATACAAAAGTTGGCTAAATAACAGAAGGAAAATTCAATAATAATAAACAAAAACAATAAAATTACGATAACATGGAAATAACACGAAATCCAAATTATTCCAGGTTGCATATACTGTGTTTGTATGCCAAATATGATATTCAGCTAACTGAAAATTTCCATTTGTTTAATGTAGGATGCAATGAAAGAAGCATTGGAGAAACAAGGTAACCTCATTTATTTAGTTAAGCCATTGGGGGGGGGTGTTCAGGAGTTAAACCAAGAATTATGTCTTGCATGCAAACATATACGTAACTGGCGTTCCCTCCTGGGTAAACCTGTTTCATTATCGAGGCACAGAATGTCGGCATCATGTCATCGTGAGAGCGCTGGTTTGGTTTCATTAATTGTGGCTGAGCATTTTTCCTATTTGCTATAGTGTGTGAGCATAGAGCTGACTGTTGCTTTGTTGTTCATCATAGTCATAGTCAGCTTGGTTGATGCAGCCATGCTCTAACATGGGAAGAAATGTGAATTGCACGTAGCGATTGTGATTTCAAAAAAAATATTTACATGCTGTAGCACATTGGTTCTTCACAACTATAACCTGTTTGTGGTTCAGCTGCAGCGCCTTGCCTGAGTTGCCCTGCGTTTGAGTTGGCGCTGACCACGTCTGTTATGGTTGAAGGGTGTTGCTATTTGTTGTCTCTGCTAGGAGAATGTGAAATGCAGTGACTGATACGTTGACTAGTTGACTCTCTCGTGATATCAATGCTGATACGTCACGGTCTCATCATGAAAGCAGAGGTTCGGGAAGGTTGTGAACAATATATATAGAAGAGATCAGCGGCTACATCTAAGAATGAGTCGTATCGTTGCCCCAACGTGCAAGTTACGACGCCAGCAATGTGCTGTTGTTGTACGAGTGATTAACCGACCTTACGGCAGCAGATGTGTGGATAGTGTTTTCTAGAGACCTGACTGGATAGAGTGCTTGGAAGACACATGTACTACGTTCGCGAATAATTGGTTTTCGGCAGCGATTAAGATAAGAATCAGTTTGACTTTTAATTATGATTGGCATTAATGAACCGGCATTAATGCAGCATGTGGTTGTTGATTTCACATTTTCTTGGCATTTTGGACTGTATGTTTGATGGTAAGTGTAGTACAGAGATGTTCCTCTGATACTCATCGTAGCGTATAAGATTGGATAAAGGCATGATGCTGTCTTTGAATGGACCAAGAACGTGGACCACAGTCAAGCTAGCAGATTCAGTGGCTAGATGAACTGATCATCTTCACCAATCAAAGCTGGAGCAAGACAGCCTGGAAATCTTATTAAACCTTTTTCATTGTATTTGATTTAGCAACCATTGCATGAATTCTGTAACAGACGTTGTGGTTTTGAAACAGGTTTTCCTCGGTGCTTGAATTGACCACATATCACATATGATATTTTCAGACAGACACACTGATGCGCACACACCCACATGCACACATGCACATACATGCACGCACACGCACGCACAAGTGTAGCAATATTTGTGTCTTATAGTTAAGTGGTTTATTTGTTTGCTAATGTGTCTAACAATTCTGTTGTTGTAATTTGTTCGGTAATACAGCAGTGAATAGAAGACTGTTGGTTTGGAATGTCCTCACAGGAATTGATCCATTCAAGCCTACGATTATATACATACTGTTATGCTAATGTTGAATTTCTAGAGTTGCCAGCCCAAGTTTCTACAGATGCAGAAACTGAACCAGTTGAGCAACAGCAGCAGGAGCAGGAAAAGGAGGAGGAGGAGGAGGAGGAGGAGGAGGAGGAGGAGATGAAGGAGGCAGAAGAAGAACCCAAGTCTGAGAAGGAGCAGGAGGAAGAGATGGTGGAAGAGGAGGACATAACAATTACTGCCGATGGAGATGGAGAAGCAGAAGCAGCGGTCGAAGACACCCTCTCCGACAAACAGGACGACAACAAACCTGAGGGCAACGAGGATGCCTCCCTGGATGTACACGTTACGGAGAGTGATGAACTCGACACCGACCTCCTCACCACTGAGGTGGAGAAGATGGAGGAGGTTGCTGAGGAGAAGCCTGCAGCCGAGCAGAAGGAGAAGGAGGAGGAGGAGGCAGATGAGCAGCCTAAGCAGGCTGAGGACTCTTCCGATGCTGGGCAGAAAGAGGAGTGTCCGTCTGACCAGCCAGCTTCTGTTGCCGAAGCTGCAGAGGAAAAGAAAGATGACGAAGGTGTAAAAGAAGCAGCAAAAAGTGAAGTGGAAGAGAAAAGAAAGAGGTTTGTCTCCATCCCTTTAATAGCGACTCATCACAAGCTTCTGTTCAATCCCCAAATTGCTTGTGTCAAGGTATACACCTGACCAGTGGGGGGAGGGGTTGGGTTGTGAAGAGGCAAGGGAGGATTTTTCATCCAGGTTGCTTTTCCTTGCCCTTGCGCGCTACCATCTATAAATATAATTTTAAACCTGTCACATATACTTAGCTATATTACTTTCAGGCATACTCAGTGCTTGCTGCAGTGCATTGCTCCAGTTCATCTACATATATACTAGATTGTTAACATTTTCCTCATTATTGCTAAATGAATTTAATGATCTCTCACCTGTCTAACTGCCTTGAAAACAAAGCAAGCAGCAGTTTGTTTCTATCTACTGTAGTTGGTTAGTATCAATTGGCATTCACGTGTGTGCAACCCAAGCGATGGAGAAGAAGAAAAGTGTGCTAGCCACATTACAATAGTAGGATGTAAAAATGACGATTGTTTGCCCCCACACGATAAAAGAGGTGCTCGGTAGCAGCGGTTGGGCGGCACCCTACAGGCTGGAGTCGTGGCTAGACTCCACAGATGCTGAGATGAACCATCTATCCGTAGATGTTTCCTATTTGCTTCGACGTGTTGCTCACCGCAAACGAAAAAGAGCAGACGAAGTGAATTATAACTAATGCATCTGCGATGGTACTGATGCTGAATCGATTGCCGTTATCAAGGCTCTAACGAGCGACCGTGCGCGTGTACTTAGCATCCACAGAACATGATTTAGAGCCATTTAGAACTGGCGTGAATTTTCACGTTGTTTATGTCCCTCGTGATTTGCATACTGATTCCGGGTATTAAATTGTGGTCATCGCCATTGAATGATTCTCATCTAATAGCTGCTTGTATGAAAAACTTTCCAGCACACCTACCAAAGACAGCAAACCGGCTGTTGCTAAGGAAACGAAGCCAGCTGCAAAAGACGAAACGGGTAAGTCGGAATAGGATGCAAAATCTAGTGTGCGTGCGTGTTAGACGATTTAGTTTGTGGCGGTCGCTAGTGGGTAGAGTTCAGCCTAAAGGGCCTACTTAGCTTTAGCTTGTTTTTGGCAAATATATGATGACATTATTATGACGAATTAGCGAACTACAGCTTAAACCCTGGATATATGCCTAGTACAAGCCTGCATTCTTAGTAAGTAGTAGAGAGCTGTAAAAGTATTGTCGTGCACATTTTTTCCTCGACTTGAGCTATTTAAATCGGTTTTTAGCCATGAAAACCTGTTACAATGGTTATTTGTTGTGTAACAGATCACAAACACAGTGTTGCTAGCAGTAGCCTGTCATCAGGTAGAAACCTGTGGGTGAGTGGTCTGTCTTCCTCCACACGAGCTACAGACCTGAAGGCTGTCTTCAGCAAGCATGGCAAGGTATGTCCCATCTGTTACTAACCCCTTCTCACATCATTATATATATAACTAGACAGAGGGCACTCACGGAGAGTGCATACCTCCGCGAGCGTGTAACATGTATGTGTATAACAGCTGGCTCGCTGCTGGCTGCTGCTGACTGGACGCCCTAGGGCGAGCTGCTGCTGAATCGATCACGCCAACGCTACACACACACACGAACACACACACGAGACCGATTACATGACCTCCGTTGCGCGGAGGTAACGAACACACACACGAACACACACACGAGACCGATTACATGACCTCCGTTGCGCGGAGGTAATGATGTGAGAAAGGGTTTACTTCATGAACTGCCACTATGTGTGTTCATGATTACGATTACGTTAGCTTCATTTTGGCTTGTGTACCAACGGTAGCTGTCTAGTGACTTTATGACATCAAATAGCAGGGCTAAACGGTTTTCAGGAGTCAGTATTAGAAAATGAGTAACAACCTAGATATCATAAAATGTAATATAAGGTCAAACTGTTTAACATCTTAAACATTAATACCCAAAATATGCAGCAAAACTACCCATATGAACACCTTCCATGTAGTCACACTGGTTGTCTTTATTCTTAAATGTTACACTTTAACAATTATAAGATTGCACTCACACTGGTCAATGCTTACACCTTAATCATTCTCCAGGTGATCGGTGCTAAGGTGGTAACGAGCGCTCGCACACCTGGTGCACGTTGCTATGGTTTCGTCACAATGGCCACCCACGAAGAGGCAACCAAGTGCATACAGCATCTACACAGGACAGAGCTGCATGGTCGCATGATCAGCGTAGAGCGCGTGAGTCATCCATGCTTTAATGAGAATATGCTGAAGAGAGCTAGTGCAGGTATATCGTGTGGTATGTAGAAAAGGTTTGGGTGTCTTATGGTAACTTTCATGGCAACGTGCTTGTGTTCAAGGAAAGAAATACCTAAACTAAAAACTGTCGGTCTAATGTCAATCTGAATTTTCAGGCGAAGAACGATCCTGCACCTCCTGGTAAGAAGGCAGTGCTTGGCAAGACGATAAGCACCATTCATGTTAAGAAGCCAGTCGACAAAAAAGACGTGGCTGTGGAAAAGAAAGGATCTGAAGTGAAGAACGTTGGTAAGTTAACCCATGTGTCTTAAGTGGTCATTCACAATTACTTACCTTATCACAAGCATATAAACTGAGCATTTTTATATGACCCTCCCCATCCCTCCAAAATTGTACAAAATTAAATGGCGATTTTTCAGATTTGCTGGGAATGTTTGAATCATCATTTCTTTTTCTAAAAGCATATAATGGATGTTGATCCTCTACTTTCAAGATGTGGTTCTCACACTTGTGATAACTTTGAGAATCGTGAACGACCCCCTAAAGCTTACGACATATGCTCCAACATTTGTTCCCAACATCATTCAACATTTTTGGCATTAAATGTTGCAATTTGATGAAGCAACACCTACCAACACTCACGATTTGTTGCTAACAAGTGTGTTACAGGTAGCTTATCATAAGTAGGGAGTACTGAATCTGATGACATGTATGCATTCTCCAGAGGTGAAGAAGGAAAACGATAACAACAAGAAAACTCCTGAGAAGAGAGATGAGAAGAAACAAGTGAAAATAGAAAAGAAAGATGTAAAGATAGAACGTGAGAATTTAAAAAAAAATACCCAAGTTGGGTTGGCGTGCAATGCCAAAATGCTGAAAATTTCCACGAATTGCTTTCTGGTACTTTCATGAACTATTTGTCATTTGATCGTATTTGTTTACCAAGCATTGAAAACTAACAAATTTGTCTATATGCGCACGCGTGCACACAAGTGCTCACACACACCCACACACAATCACGCATACACACACACACACAAGCACGCATACACACACACACAAGCACGCGTGCACGCACCCATGCACAGACGTCTACAAAATGTATGTATGTATAAATAGAATCTGTAGTCATATTTCTTGCAATGTTGATGCTAATAAGGAAACCAATTATTATATAGCTGGCACAGAGGACAAAAACAAGGACAGTTCCAAGTCTGAGAATGACAAAACATCAGGCGAAGAGAAAGACAAAAACCCAGAGGATGTCAACAAGAGTGCAGAGGAAAAGGAAGCAGAGCGCAAGGCAAGAGAGGAACGAGATCGCCGAAAGGTACTCACTCTTAAGAAAATACAGGTAGGAATATTAGCTATGCAACATTTAACAACCCTTCAAACCGTCATCTCTTGGCTAAATAAACTGCTGCACGCAAGCAATATAAAACGGCAAAATTTCCTAATGGTTTGTGTTACAGAGAGATGCTTTAGTTGCGGAGTTCGTTCAGGTGCATTTAGTCACAGGAATATTTGGGTCCATTCGATACAGCAGTGACTTTACGAGTTTCTCCTCATCACAAACTACTTTGTCACTTGCTGTTTTGTTCTATATTAAAAGGTGAGATGACACCAAGCTAAATCCCAGAAGGTTGTGCCCTGAATTTTTGTGCATTCTTTAATGCCTATAAATATAAATCCAATAATAATATCCAATATATAATATAAATATCCAATGGTATTCTCTGCATTGGCATTTATTGTTCCATATATCTCAAGAAACCAGTTCATCGTTGAGATATGTTAGTAGTAGAAAAACAATTTCCTAGTTTGATCACAAATGCTGTTTTGCGCTCATGTTAACAGGAGCAACGGCAGCGAGAGAGAGAACGAGATCGAGAGAGAATGCAGAGGCAGAGGGAGAGATGTGCAGAATTTGAGGCAGAGAAGGAGAGAAGGAGACTCCTCGATATTGAGAGAAGGAATAGAGAGGAAGCCCGACGTCTACACGAAGAAAGAGACAGACTCAGGTAACTACGCTATCTGCGTACCAGTGACACTTGAACTTAGCAGTTGGTGAAGTTAGTGTGTGCAAACTTGTGAAGTGTGTAGCTCTCACATTGTTTACTGTGATGTTGGTTTCTGCTACAGGTTTGAGAGGGAGAGGCTAGAAAGAGAGAAAGCAGAGGCTGAGCGACTTGAGAGAGAGCGCATTCGTCTTGAGAGAGAACGTCGGGAGAGAGAGCGGCTTGAGAGGGAGAGCCAGAGAGAAGCAGACCAGCGACGCATGGATAATTTCAGGTACTGTCACACACACATCATCAAACTCCCTCGTTCTCCTCCTCTGCTTCATCTTACAATACCACGGTTAGACTCGCCCTAATCCAACTAACTAGAACCTTCCATTCATGATTCATGACATGGCAGGTATGGACAGATTGCATTTTATTTAGCATATTAGACTTCAATGTGTTGATACCTTGATGTTTCATCCTTGATGATCATCCCATAACTCATCTCCTGCGATGATTCTATAATTATAATGATTGACAGTACAAGTGCTCGTTATTGTTTAGTTTTTAGCTCATCTGACATAGTCAGATGCAGCTTGTAGAATCGCTTGATCGTCCGTCCGTCCGGTCGTCCGTCCGTCCGTCCGTCCGTCAACAGTTGGGCACAAATCTTAACCGCTCGACGTACGGTCACGATATTCGGCACATTGGGGGGGATCGTCAAAACGAGTTGGGCTGTCGAAGCTGGGGGTCAAAGGTCAAAGGTCAAGAGGTGTAAAAGAAGGGGGAACATTCATCCTTAACTTAAGGTATAGGGAGGAAATGCAGAATTTGGCGCACAAATCTAACACGGCTCGACCTAGGCTCGTGATAGTTGGTGTTAGCATCACGGTAGGAAAAGCCATCACTGCTGCGAAATTGGAGGTCACAGGTCAAAGGTCAATGGGCACAGGGCAGATTTTAGACATTTTCTGAGGACTGGTCTGACGGAGCGATTGAAAAACTTTTTTGTTTCAGCGTGACCTAGCATTTTTATGGCCATTATTTTGAAAGGACCATGGAAATCTACTTTCTGCTGACATGCGAAGAGTAAGTGTCACGATAACCTTTTGCACCCTCAAGAGGAGGTTAAACATGATTGTTGACTGTCTGTAGAAAAATTTGACTGCCCGCGGTTTGCTAGTAGAATCTATACATGCCTGGATGTAATGAGGCTACAATGTCACATGAAATTTCAAAAAGCTAAATTTTGGTTAAAGAAGGTTGTATGCTCCTTAAATCGTATAATTTATTATGGCATTCTGTAGTGTCAGTATGTTACATGTAACGTATGCCACTGCCAGTGGCTACTGCCAGTGCATGTGTTGTAGTACTGTGGATTTTTGCCTTAATTGGCTTACAGGTGGCAGCTCTCTATTGCGCAGCCTGTAGGCTTGCGTAGGTAAATGGATGAGTGCTTACCTATTCTGTCTTGCAGATAGTTGTTGCTACAGTGCTACTACGTATGATGGGAGCTTCCATCTTTAATCTGAAGACACTTAAACGTACGGCCATCTCCGTGGCAACTTTCTATACGATCCCAACGCAACATTCCTTTTGAGAAGGTTCCTGATACCATCCCTGTGCATTCCACTGTTTCGGCGTGTATGTGAACACATTTGGGACTAACAGGGTTTACTAGAATCCCAACACTCCACCACAAGGGTCACCGCAGTAGACGTTAGATGAGCGCTGTCGCTATGCGGCACTTGTTCTCTGATAGCATGAATGATGCTTGACTTAATAGGTCGTCTGCTGCTCACTCTTCATTGTTTGCATTCTAATGTGTACTTTAATGCAACCACACCTGTGAATTTGCTATTCCTTGTTTGCAATTGTCAGTGTTGGCCCAAGTTCGCAGTTAATTCATGTTTCCGTGTTTGCCATCTTCGTTTCCTACCCCATTCTGCTCCCTTCGCAGACGACAAGGCCCTTACAAGCCAATGAATGGGTCGCGTCCATTCGATTCCAGCCCAGTAGGTGGAAGGTAGGTGCCAGCCAGCTGCACTCGTTACCGACTCACGCACACACATTTTTATATTTGCACGAAGAGGTTTCAAGAAGTGATGTGTGAGAGAGATTTTAGTGATAGCACATGGTGTAAGATGCAATAGCAAGTGTGGTAAACTCGAAATGAGATCGATTCTCTAGACAATGAGATTTTTCACAACTACGACATACATTAAATGCTGTAAACATTTTGTACTGGCACCTGATTCACTGCACTAGTCTTAGCAGTTGGTGGCCATCAGTTGTTATAAGTTGTGATGATGGGAACAAACTTTATTGAAACCTATTTATAGCGTCAGCCGTGACCTCACTTTTATAAGTGAAATAAATTATTGTGAATGATAGAAATGTTTGATTACAAAATGTGATGTGTAAACTAACAAGAATTGTTGCTCTACTACGAAATGATTGAGTAGTTAGTGTTACATCTGCCCTTGCATAGATGCTAACATAGACATCCATATGGCCTAAACCTCACACCCTGTCCCTGCTTGTCCTTTATTACTAGTTAATTTGTCTTCACAGAGTAATCCAATTTCATACCAAACGTCAGCCACTCCTCTCCACTGATTCCTCCTCACACAAAAGGTACGTATCCTCATGTTTCCTCTTGTTGTCTTCATCCTGAAATCCTATTGTCACAATTCTGTTATTTGTTGTAAGTCCTGCATTTCTGCTTAAGCTGTCCGCGATAAAAAGGAGATGATGACATACTGATTGAAATAATGGTATTCGTAACCACGTGCTGTGTCATATATTGTGATATTGCTTATATGCTTTACTAACATTAAATTCCGTTTTTGTGTGCCATTGCTGTCTAGAATTATTTTATATAATATATTACTAATCCCTTTTATATTGCATTTCATATATTTATTGTGCATGCCAATGGTGGCTGAGTGCACACGTGCACGTCTGTGTATACTTACGTACATGTGAGCAGAGATGCGAACCACTACGATTTATCCGTATTTTATACGAATTTCTATTCCTTTGCACCACTACGACCAGTTTGTATCAAACTATGAATTTCACTGTGATCGGGGTAAAAAAAATTATTTTTGGTCCGTCAGTCTATAATACGCAGGGGGAAAAATACACGGGGGTAGCAGGCGATTTCGCCCCCGAAATGCCAAAAAGAGCGCCCGAAAGCATGATATCGGGGGGCGACCCCAAAAGAAAAAGTCGCCCTGGAAATCGATTGTCCAGGTCGGACCCGCGCCTTGCCACTCTCGCTCGGCATTGCTGCGCTGCGATGCCTAGGCATCTGCCGCTAGCGGCAGCCAGTTCCACGGCGCGGTAGAATTCATGGTACGGTGTGACTGTCAAGTGTTTACCATTTAAGCATGAATGTGTGTACTGTACTGTATTGCATTCAATCAAGCGCACGCCGCTGCCCGCGCGTATATACGTGTGTGCCCGTGCGCGTGCTTGCGCGCGTGCGTGTGTGCGTGCCGGTGTGCCTGCGGGCGTGCTTGCGTGTGTGCCTTCGCACGTGCGTGCGTGCGTGCGTGTGTGCCTGTGTGTGCCGGTGTGCCTGCGGGCGTGCTTGCATGTGTGCGCGTGCGTGCGTGCCTGCGCGCGTGCTTGCGCGTGTGCCTGCGCGCGTGCGTGCCTGCATGCGTGCGCGCGTGTGTGCGGGTGTGCCTGCGGGCGTGCCTACGTAGACCCGTAGGACCAACAACCCGTAGGATTATAGAACGGTAATCCATGGAAAATCTTAATGAAATTCACACGTATATTTTTCCCTGCCGGCACACTCGTGTGTCATTCCCGATTGTAGCTTTTTCGTCAATTCCCCGAAAGAGTTTTGCTGCCGCTTTCTCATAGTCCAGCAATCCCAACCCTCTACATGATACGGCACGTACGTTTAAGTGTCTTCAGATGGAAAGATGGAGCTCCATGTACATTAGTAACGCCAACAACTATTTGCAGACAAGAATAGGTAGCATATCTTTACTAGGCAAGCCTAACAGGGACGTTGCAATAGAGAGCTGGCACTGTAACTAGTTAACGAGGCAAAAACTACAGCACACACATTGCACTGGGCGTGGCCATGCCAGTGCCTACGTTAATGTAAAATACTGACAGTACGAGATGCCACATAGAAATTATTAGGATTTTAACGGAGGCTAACATTTCTTCAACAAATTTTAGCTTTTGAAATTTCACGTGTGCATCTTGTAGACTGTAATCAGCATGTGATAGTTTATACGAGAAAACACGGCAGTAAATTCGTTTCCTAACAGACAGGTAAACAAATCATGGTTTAACCCTCTCGTGGAGGGTCATAGGCCTTATCCGACACTATTTCGCATAGTCAGCGAGAGGACATTTCATTGGTCTTTCAATAAGCATAAATGATGCTCGAGTCCCGCTGAAACAAAAGTTTTCATCGCTCCGTAGACAGTGTCTCAGAAAATGTATAAAATCTGCCATACGTGCCATTGACTTTGCATGTGACTCCAATTTCGGCAGTTGATGTGCTTTTCCTACCATGATTGCTTATACACGGACTATTCAGAGCCTAGGTCGAGCCGTTTAGATTTGTTGCCCGCATTCTTGGCATTTCTCCTTATACCTTAAGTTAAGAGTAAATGTTCCCTTCTTTTTAACGCTGTTGACTTTGAGCTTTTGACCCCCAGCTTCGAGAATCCAAATTCGTTTTGATGAGTCCACCCGATGTGCGAATATCGTGACCGTACGTCGGAGCAGGGTTAGATTTGTGCCCAATCTGTTGACGGGCCCCGACGGCCACGGACGCACGCAACGGGACGGCACGGACCCCGCGGCACGATCGTGCGATTCTAAAGCTGCATCCTGAATATGTCAGATGAGTCTAAAAATGTTTTAGTTATGCAATAATGCAAGTATTGAAAAGAAAGCAAGAACTGAAGAGGTTTGCAGGCCACAGAGTTGTATTCAGTAAAAAAAAAAAAAAAAAAAAAAAAAAAAAACAAATAAAATTTCTTATAAAAAAAAAAAAATTTTTTTGGTTGTTTAAAAACAAAAAAAAAAATAAGGTCTAGCTCATAATATCTATGCAGACCTGAACTGTTACGTATTGCGCGATAATTTGTTGAGGACGCGAGTGCAAAATATACGGGCTGTACAGGCAGACCTCGAAAACAATTACGGACAGCAGAATATCTGACATTTATTATTTTTATGCAAAAAAAGAGAATAAACCGCAGTTTTGGTAAATAAATATTATCATGTAAATGACTATGTGGTCTGTAGATTTAGACTCAATTAGCTCTGTAAAAATGCTACGGTACGCATGACAAATGGTAAATTGATGCCTGTTGTATTATGCGCTCTGTCATGTTGGTTTATGGTAAGTTAAGAGTTTCAGTGTGTGTGTGTAGTGAGCGGCACGCATTGTGTGTATGTGTGGAACTGCAATATGACTCTTTTGCTAATATATGTTATTTTATAAATGATATGAAGACTTGACAAAAAAGGTGTTACTGACAAATGCCCTAGTTGTTACGGAAAATCATAATTATTTAACTGATGTTCATAGATGGGGTGGTGCAGGAGTACTGTTATGTATGTATAATATTATAATTTTTTTTGACACAATTGTTGAGTTACTTTCCTCCGGTGATGTTTATGACGTATCAACTAAGTGTATTCCGATATGTGACCGACTTCGGCTCTACTTCCTTGTCATGGCAATATTCCATATTCATGTTTGCTTCCTTTTGTGAGGTGTTTATGTTGAAGCAACCACATCGTACGATATCATGGAGGCTTGTGCTGTAACCTCGTAAAAGATTAGGGTTGAAGTCTGTATGATATGACTAGGCCTTATTGGTCTGTAGCCTTATGTTCTAGGGCCTGCAGAACCAGACACTATAGTCATAGTGGCAGATGGTGGGTCGTTGTCGTATCCGGTACTAAGTATTGTACAGACAGCGTAGTTTTAGGTTGATTCTCATCTGCATAGTCAGATGCAGCTTGTTAGTCGCATTGTCGTCCGTGCGTCCATGCCGATCCGTCAGCAGTTGCGGCACAAATCTAAAGTCGACGTAGATTCGAAAGGTCGGGAGGATTGGTGGGGGTAATCTGAAACGAGGTTGGATGTCGAAGCTGGGGGTCAAAGGCTAAGAGCGTGTACAAGAAGGAGGGATACATTCCTCCTTAAGTTAAGGCATAGGGAAGGAAATGCCAGAATTGCAGTCAAATTAAACGGCTCGACTAGGCTCGTGATAGTCGGTGTATTCTGTCCGTAGAAAGCCTCGCTGTGCCCGCACATTGGAGGTCACAGGGCCAAGTCATGATAGTGACAGGGCAGATTTTCACTTTTTCTGAGGACATGCGTCTGACGGAGCGATTTGAACATTTTCTGTAGTTCAGCAGTCGCTTTAGCATTTTATGGTTTATTGAAAGGACCATGAAATGTACTTATGCTGCATGCGAGTTAAGTGAGTGATAACCTTTTGCCTAAGAGGAGGGTATTAAATGGATTTGTTGGGACTGTTACACAAAGGACTGAAACTGCTTTGGCTATGTGGATGTGAGGCTACAGTGCACAGTTCAATTTCAAGGCAATGTTTGTTGACCAGAGGTTTACGTCCTTAAATATTTATTTTCTAAGGTCAAGTTGCTGTATTCAGCACCCTGATATAGCAACTGTATTGAACCCTGAATGCTCGCGTGTGTACAGGCAAAACATGGGGCAGCCCAGTTACGCATATGGGGGTGCTGGCCTATTCTAATCATAATTAATGTGGTGGTTGTGTGCGTGGTTAGTATGTGCAAGACATTGTGTGAGTGTGACCTGAGTGTGTGTATGGTATTAGCCGCAGAGCGTGCAGCGTGATTTGGGACCGGGTCTTGTTTTGACTGGCGGCGCAAGAAATGGGAAGTGTCAATTGAGTAAATGTAAACAGTTAAAAATGTAAAGAATTAAATATTCCTGCTTTAATAGCTGCTAACCAGAACTTAACCCTAACCGTAATTCGAACTCTGAACCTACCTAAACCCTTGCCCTAACCATAACCCCTATACCCCATAAGTATGCGCCCAGCGACGAACAGAAAACTGAAGAATGCGGCTGTTCGCGGAGGTTTATTATATATCTTGGTTGTATAATATACGTGAGCCTTATCGTGTTGGATATATACGCTGTATTTATAACCGCGCAGAGCTATCACCATGTATGCACCCCCCCCCCCGTACACGCGTATTTACGCGCCAGCCCGACACTGAGACGTGCCGAAGCCAGCGGGGAGCAATAGAACGCGGGGCGGGGGGAATTATATAATACCAGATGGCCGCGAGGAGGGCAGTAGGGAAAGTAACATCAATGGCGTACGATTTCTATTTTAATTTATGACGTTCCAAAAAACACGAATATCAAACGATTTCAGAGTAATATTTAATGCGGGGAGTAGTAGCAGTCCGTAAATGACCACACGGCGCAATAGCAGATAGCATTTCTAGGGCCATAGACATCAGGAAGTGACATGGGAATTCTCCGCGCGATAAGAATGGTATGATGGAAACGTCAGAAACGGTCGAGTAGTGTCGCTTTAACGGAGTTTTTTCCCACACGTGCTGTTGAATGACAGTTTCTTCGGTCGAATGAAGAAACAACGGGTGCTTCAACACACCCTGCTCGATTTTAAAGGGGGCTCCCCCACTTTACGAAATGACAGTAGGTCTCATCTGGACATCCATCTCTTCCTTGAACCTAACCCTGTGATAGACAATGCAAAACTTGGGCACTTGATGTGTGGCTAGTTTAAGTAAATCGCAAGGTATAGAAGCTATTCACTGTCTTATTA